AGAGGTTCTAATATTCCAGTGGCTCTACTACTCCAGTTCTACAGAAACCCCTGTAGAGCTCTAACCTTCCATCAGCAAAAGCTGAAAGAGATACTGAATTTCTCCTCGCTCCTTCCCCCCACCTGGGAAGCTCACCATGACTTAAAGAGAGACAATTTAGAATACATATAAGAAGGATGGTAAAACACTGGAACAGGTTACCTAGAGAGCTGGTGGATGCTCCACCCCTGAAAACATTCAAGGTCAGGCTGGATCTCTGAGCAACCTGGTCTAGTTTAAGATAGCACTGTGCATTCAAGGGGGTTGACTAGATGAGGTTCCTTCCAATACAAAGTATTCTATGATTCTATAACCATACCACCTCTCAAGATGTGAACCATACAATCAGCCTGATGCATCCAAGCATGCGGCACCAGGCTTGGACCTGATCACAGCTGATGGAAGTGATCACAGCCTCTCAGGGGACTCAAATACGTGTCTGTGTTGGCAGAGCGGCGTTTCAACAATAAAAAATAAATACCCAAAAACACCCCATCAAAAAACAAAAAAACACAAAAAACAAACCGACCAAACAAACACCGCCCCCCCCCAAAAAAAAAAACAACAAACCACCAAAAGGTGGCCAAAATTTGAAATAAATAAATGCATTATTTCTAAAGTGGCATCCTCAGGCTCACAACTAATTAATAATCAATGATCCACTCCGTCAGCCTTTATTAGCGCCGCTACAAATCCCAGCACAGCTGCAGTTGCCCCACGCCGCTGCTGAGTGTCTCAGGGCCGCCCCGAGGGCAGCTTCCACCCCGTTCCCGGCCTTTTACAACCGCGGAGCCGCCGCGCCACGTGGATGGCCCCGGCGGGACCGCGGGCCGCCCGGGGCTCCGCACNGAGTCGGAGAGGGAATGCAGTTGATGCTACTTTCAAATCATAAAATCGTAAAGTCCAACCATTAATTCAGCACTGCATGTTCACCGCTAAGCCATGTCCCGAAATACCACATCATATGACTTCAGAAGCACTTTGAGGGATGCTGATTCCACCACTTCCCTGGGTAGCCTGTTCCAATGCTTGACCACCCTTTAAGTGAAGAAACCTTCCCTGGCGGAATCTCAGGCCATTTCTTCTTATCCTATTGCTTGTTCCTTGGGAGAAGAGACAGACCCCTATCTCCTTTACACCCTCCTTTCAGGCAGTTGCAGAGAATAATGTGTCCCCTGAGTCATCTTTTCTCCAGTCTAAACAACACCAGGTCCCTCAGCTGCTCCTCATCAGAGTTGTGCTCCAGGTCCTTCACCAGACCCTTCACCAGCTCAGTTGCCGTTCTCTGGACACTCTCTAGCACCTCAATGCCTTGTAGTGATGAGCCCAAACCGGAAAACAGGACTCAGAGGTGCGACCTCACCAGTGTCAAGTACAGGCAGACTTTAAATGCATTTCCCAGCTTCCCAACTCAACCTTTAAGTTTTTTAACTTCACTGTGAAACTGAAATCTAAAGGTGAAAGGGATGGGAAGCAGAACTAGAAAATAAATCTAATCAGAGAAATTTAATTGGGAAAAAAAAAGGGAATATATCAAATTTTAAAGCACTTTTCCTCCACACAAGTTCCTATTTCATCATATTTTCCACTGTGCAGCTAGTAGAAAGATGAACACAAAACCAGGCAAACTATTTTTTCTAGTTTCCTCTGAATAACCCACGTTCTTCAATTAAGATGTTTAATTTTTAATAAAAACAATGTTTCATGTGTTCCTTTTTACTCAAGGGGATTGGTACTAGATTAGCTACTTTGCACCCCCTAATTCAGTGAGAAAAGCTACCTTTGAGCAGAGTCCCAAAGTTGTCCAATTGGGTGGGGTGGAGGTCTATACCTGAACTGAGGGATCTCAGTATAAGGTCTCAGGGTGTGTTTCACAGCCAGGTTTCTGTCTGGTGTCTTCCACAAGCCCTCTAGTCTGTATAGCTGGAGTAGAAGAGCAAGAAATTCACTTGCCCATGCAATCTGGCTGAAATAAAACAATAATAACTACCTTTTTTGTTTTTGAATTGGTAAAAGCAAAGCAGAGGAACCAAGTGTGTTACTCTGTAGCTTACCTTCAAATACAATTGTGAATTGCCAAGCTAAAAATAAATTCGGATAGTTTTGACAATTTCAGTACCTTCTGGATGACATAGGCTTAAAAGCATTATGTATTTTTTCATTTAGGGGAGTGCTTCAAAATGTGCTGCGCAGTCTGCATACTGTGATGAGTTCCCAGGCCTGACTAGTATTTTAAACACTCCACTCTAAAAATTGACTTAAAAGTCAGAGAAAAGTAACATTTTTTTAGAAAGTGAAAGACAGATGAGATGAGTTTTTCTCCTCTCTCTGAGAAGAAGAGAATCTCCATGTACCATTGCATCTGATCCTCAGTGTAACACATGGTGGACTACCCATTTAAGTACTTCCAAGCCTTTATACTCCAATCATATGGAAGGTATTTGTTAGGAGAGAATGTGAGGGAAGTCGTTACATGCAAACAAAGAAGCATTTAGCCAAAGCAGGCCATTTAAAAACTGGTTTGCATTGCAATATCCACTATTGAGGCACCTGCGGTTGTCACTCAGAGTGCAGAAATAAGAAGCTTTGGGCATGAGGTGGGGAGGAGGGAATTCAGTAGAAGACAAAATGTGGGAATTATGTGTAATATCAGCAAAATTGAAATGCAGACTTCTTGAAATACAAAAGAATAAAGATCTCCTGTGCAATGCATTCCTGAAAGGCTTGTATATTATGTGTCCCACTGCTGACCCTGGGCTTGGTTCTTTCCCTTGTCCCCAACAGTCTACGTTATGAAGCGCTGTTTGTTAAAAGCTGTCAAGACGCTATCTTGGATTGTGAACAACAGATTTGAAATGGCTGTGTTGACTGTCCTGTGCTAAATTAGAGTGAATAAAATTGAATTCTCTTACAATAGAGATGTGCAGCTATTATGCTGTTACAAATACATTATGAACTGTCTGATATCTTCAGCTATTTTATGCAATTTGTTGCTTTGGCTTTGTTTCTCTTTCTTTTCCCCTAACTTTCCACTTCATTTTGTACTTTCATAATCATTATCCTTCTCAGTATTTCAAGCCCTCTTGTCAGTTCTTGTTCTTTATGTTGCCTTATTATAAGTGTGGGGTTTTTTTAAAATTTTGTTAGTTTAATTTTTCTGTAGCTGTAGCTCAAATATTTCTCAGTGTGGAATTTCCATCACTGAATTCCTGCCAATTTTCTTTACCTCTTGTCATAGTATTTCAAAGTTCTTTTTTCTAACCCACATCAGTTTTTGTGGTGTTGCCTTGTCAGTCAGATCTCATCATCTGCTCAGACGAGTTTTAGCTGAATTCCAGGTACTCTTCAGCTTTATATATTAAGCCTGAATTATTTTGCAATGGCTGGATCCAGAATATTTTCTGACCTTGCTTATCATCTCATGAGAACATTGCTGATAATGTCTCAGTCCAACTCTTTGGACTCAAAATTGTAAAATGAAACTCATAACAATGAGCTCTGTCTTGGGCTCAGTATGACTATTATAATCAGACTAAAATTTCCAAAGAGAACAAAAGTGTACTAAAGGAATAATGAGCTACTCAAAATATATATCAGGTGTAGCAGATGATGAGTTTATGGGATATTCAGTAACAACATGCACTGTAAAATTACAGGACAGCACCACCATCTCTCTAAAGTGGCCATGGAAACAGAAAATTTGTTTCCTGTGAGTTTCGAATTAACAAATAGCACTCTAGTTTATAAATTTGGACTTTACTGCTGTGAATTTACCAAGCTGGATAAACATTAAAATCAGTCATTGCTCCTGAACTCCGCTTTCACTGCTCCCTCTAACAGTCTCTAATTTGGAGACCATTGTAATCTCAACTGGGGGCTTTACTCCCATCTTCCTGCCACCACGCTTCTCTGAGACCTGTCAAGCATTTTAAGTAGCATGCACTTTCCCACACTTCTCAATGAATGCTGACATACCTAACTTAAAAGGATTACTTTCTGCTGAGAGGAATTGTAATCTTCTTTTCCTGCTCTGCAAATCCTCTAGTAAGTGAAAAAGAAAGGCCAAGATCTGTTCTGCTGTGCAGGGCAAATCACCATCGCAGAAGGTATAGAATAAAACAACAAATCTAAGATTTACTTGTGGTCACGCTTGTCCAGGAGCTGTGTCCCTGACTATTAACTCATTGGCATCTTCTATCACTATTTCTGGTGCTTTGATATTTTCTGTGTTAGTTTCTAACAGCTGTATGAATACACACACAATTGCTACCATGAATGGTGTTCAGGACAAAACACTTCTCTCAAAGATGTCTAAAAAAAAGGTAGAGACAGAATTGCCCTAATTTGAACCCAGTTTTTAATATTATGTATTCTGTTAACAAAACCCAGAACCATACTTTAAGTTATATACAAAAACCACTGTTTTTTCAAACTGCCTATGGCCAATTTGCAGAATATTTTCAAAAGCTGGCACGGAGGACTGTGGTGGTGGTGAAGGTTTGTGCTCCAGCAGTGGGTTGTGGGTGGTATCTGACAGAACAACAAAAGCACAAATGTTCCTGCTACCTTGATTTCCACCCACTCATCTCAAAACCTTTCCTCATACAAGGTGATTGGTGCAACAAATTGGCTTGTGGGCGAGGCTGAGGGCTTGGGTGATCTTACACTACCAACTGAAAATGAAGCCACAGGTTATTCTTTTGCAGAAGTCACCTGAATACTGTCCAAGAGAGCCTTCCCCATGCTATCCCATCATTCCCTTAACATTCCTGCAAAAATGGGGGGGTGGGGGACAGCAGGGGGAGGAGTTCGCCAACAAAGCTTGTATTGCTGAAAATATAATGTTGTTGTTTCATATTGCAAAACCATATTTTGTTGCCAGTCATTCCCAAAGGAGATGAGCCAGGATTAGAGTCCAATTCCCCTTTTCATTCACTTATTAGGCAGACAGCTATACTCACAAGGTAGATGAACACCAGTTCCAGGCTTCCATCCATGAGTTTTCTTTCCATTACTATACTGCTGCATGCAGCAAAAAATTCAGCCTTCAAATTTATAAGAAGATCTTTGAGATACTTTCCTTGATCTAATCCTGCAAAACATAGATCCAGGTGAACAGACATGTCCTTAGCTAATTCTTCCTAAAAATCTTCGTTGATATTTGGAGGTGTCTTTCATGTGTTTTTATTAATTCTTAGTTGTATTTCAGCCCACACTGATGGATGGCTGCTTCCAAACTGCCAGTGAATGGGCTGTGTTAGTTGTAGCTAATTCCTCCTTGGTTAAGTTCTGCAGCGTCAGCAGGGCTGGAACATTTCAGTTGGACATGGGAAATGCCCTTCTCTCCCCTACCTTCCCAGCCATTCATGTGGGACAAATGAGTCTTATTGTTTCAGAGAAATGAGCTTAGGATTTTTCCTTCAGAGGAAATGGGGTTTTTGTATCCTGTGAGTAAGGATTATCTGACCTTTCTCCTCTTGTTTTCTGTGGTTTAAAAAAAGGCTAGGAACATATGACAAAGCCTCATTTAATCCACATTCCTAGTCATTCACTTCCCAATTCTTTCTCCTTTGTCATCCTTTTAATTTCTTTCTGATGCTTATTTGTCAGTTCCATAAATCATCCTGAAGATCACCATCATTAAGAAACTCCAGGCTCATCAAAGTTTGCATAGCATAAAATTCCTCAAAAAACTGTCCAATTGCCAGTTCACTCAGACATCAGAGGCTGGGAAAGCAATCTGCTCTGACTTCTCATACCCAATAAAGTCTTTGCATCAAAGCTATTCTTTTGCATGAAAGGTCATTCTTTAGACTTCTCAGGGTGCTCCAGGTTGCTATTTCCATCACTTTTGCAAAGTTCAGCTTCAATTTCAAATATATTAATCAGTATTTAAGTTTTGCAAGTATTGCTATCACCTTACATAAGAATTTCTTCAACTCAGTTACATCCTGACTCAATGGGTTTTTCTCCCGGACTTCTGGATCTCCCTTAGAAATCACCTGCATGGTTCAAACCATGAGTTGAAAGCACAGGAAAATACAGCTTGTCTCATTTAGAAGTAGAAAATGAAAATAATGGACTAGGTGTTCCTTTGGTTCATTCCAGTTTACTTGCAATGCACTTAAACACCCTCTTCTGCAATAAAACAGAAAAAGAAGGAAAAAGAAAAACCAGGCTATTTTATTCTGCATGGTTCCACTTTATCCATCCCATCTAGTTATTTATCCAGAGTTCCCTTTCTTTTAGCTTGCATTCAGGCCATGTGTCCACACTGCTTTCTGCCTCTGAAACAACTCGAGTTCTGCATTTGTATTCAGATTCCTGGGAAATTCCTTCCCTTCTTTCCTCTAAGATAATTTTTGCACTGGTGTTTCATATGGCAAACACTTTGGCAGGTGGCCTCTATTGTGTTAGCTCATTTAATCCATAAAAGGCTTAATCACTTCTTTTGCATAGCATGCCCAGAATCTGGCTAGTAAGGAGAAAAGAAGAATTTATTTGCTGTCTGCATAGTTTCAATTTCAGGTGAAGGAAGCTGTGTCTCCATTCTGTAATCTACCCCTTTCTTTTGCCTGACTGCCTTTTGGGAGTTCACACAGGAAAAATATGTAAAGTTTGCAAGCAGTAATATTAAGGGCACTGTGCATTAACTGACATAACGAACAGGTATATCATTCACATCTGGAGCCACAAGGGCAGAGGATGCGAAGACAAAGCATAAATGCACTATGAGGTAGAAGTGTACGGATTTGCCTTTCTGTGACCTGGAGTGTTTTGCTTCCCAGGTTCTCCCAGCCAAATTATAAGTGTTTTACTTCTTCCCACAGCCACTAAACTGAACGTGGAATAAACTTATTACCAGGACTCGCTAATAGTACTAAATCTTTGCAACAGAAGGAGAAGGAGCCAAGACAACATGCCAGAGTGGACTGGATAAAATGCTGGCAACTGAGCCAAAGAAGCATGGATCTGAAGGGAAGGTGGAGAGAACTGGGAGACACAGAGCAAACTAGAGGATAAGCTCCTTCTGCTTTTGCCTCCTTTCCTCTCAGGTAGCCAAAACAAAACATCTCTTGGGATAGCTAAAGAGGATTCAAGTCTAGTCCTGACCATGCTACCACCACTCAGCCTTGCTGTGACTGCCTGGCAGAAACTCACAGTAGAGGCTGTGCTGCCCAGTCCCAGAGGACATGAGGCAAGAGGTTCCCAGGACCTCCAGCTCCTGCCAGTGGGAGAAAAGGGTGACCCTACTGACAGCCATGGCACTCTACTCTCTCAGGTCTCACATGATTTAGATTTTGCATTTGCTCTTGCCCATTTGCCTGTGCTTTATTTTCTGGTAGCTGGGCTATGCCTTGACAAATGTGTCTGTGTGTGAGAGATAGTCTCTTAGAGAAATTGTTTCATTTCTGGCTCACATTCAATCCTAGCATCTGGGAATAAGGTGTCTATCTTTAGTATTAAGGACTTCTGTTCCTCACCCCACTTTTCAAAAAGCTCCTGAATTAATTTACACAGAGCACAAAGTGCTGAGATACCTTCTCGTAGCCCACTCTTGTGGTAACAGCCTTGTTCCTCCAGTTCTCCTGGACATAGTCTAATATCTCAAGGTGCAATCACAACCTGCTGGCATTGGTGTAGAATAAAGCAGAATCACTAACACTTTCCCCTTTTTGTCTTATAGATTGGACAGAATTGTCAAATGATAATCTGCCATCACCATACACCTGCTGAGGTCATCATAAAACCTTCAGCCAGATGTGGCTTCACTTCTAAACTGAATAGCCAAGGACCTGTAGCAACCTGTCTGGGCACCTTTTACTTCTGTCCTTTTCCACCTGAATCTGTTAGAACTGTGTGTGCTAAAACAACTTCCTCACACAGCTCCAGAAGTCCCACATACTTATGCAAAATGTCTAAGGTCATTGCTAGGCATCCTGTGCCGGGCTTGAGGGTGCAGTGTGTGACTGTGATGTGACAGCCTTTCCCATCAACAAAGAGTGTTGCCAACATCTCCAGCTCAGCAAGGAACCATACACCCTCCCTCAGGAAGAGCTATCTGGAGCAAGACCCCTGAAAAAATATTTGCCACCATCTTTTGGGCATTATCACTGGAGAGAATGAGACTTGTGCCAGTGCTCAGTGTCTGGTAGACAGGACTGCCTGTGTTGGATCTGTCTATGTTTTGTTACCAGCTGGAGGACAAATTGCAAATACAGAGCTGGACATTGCCCCAGTGGAATTAGCTTATTTACTTTATCTCCTGGGCTTTATCTGCCCTTCATCTTCAAAGCAGCAGATAACCCTTCTCACAATGGATGGGAGAAATTATCAAGAAATAGTGTATTTCATTAGAAATGCAGTGTTTGGGAAGTAGGTGTTCTGTTGCCTGTTTTATACTTAACTATGTCATACTCCTTCTTGTAATATGCTGGCTGAACTCCACCATGAAAGGATTTTCAACATTGTCTTCCTAGAATAGTTTCAAAACCTCATAGCTTTCATGAGAAGGACTGCCTACCTCCCAGAAACATGCTAGAAAATTTTATGCTTTGCATTTAAAAGTTGCACAAGTCAAGAGAATTTATATTCTACTACAGAAAACTTGAAAAATATTGTCTACTACGCAAATTAATTTAAATGCAGTTTAAATCCAGTCCACAGGATTGTTAATGGTTCCAATGATCACTTCAAATCACTTTAAAGTGAAACCAATAAGCTCTTTTAAAAATACATCAAAGTTCTTTGTGATTCTAACAATGTTTTAGGAGTAAGTTTTAAAAGGTACTAACAGGACTGAGTGCAATAAGCTCAAACCCTTGCAAAAGCCTACATGGTAATTTATCAGTACCTGGTGCTGGATTCCAGGGGAATGTGTAGATGCAATACTCACAAACTGGGAAACCTAGGAAGAGTCACAGTTTTGAGATGTCCTGATTGCATCTGTGCTCCCAAACCACCATAATTTCCTATTTGGGGAAAGGACATGTGGCCCAAAGGGAATCATTTTATGGGTCTATCACATTGCATCTGACTTTCTTACGGTCTTGAGCCCTAGGTACCTAACCTGAGACACAGCTGCTGTTCATGCTGCTGACTTTATTGGAAGGAAGAATCTTACTGAAAATTTTGTGCGTGCATTCTTTGACCAAAACAATGGAACACAGCAGAATTCGCCACCTGGTCTTACAAAGCACAAAACTGAACTCACAGTAATTAGTTCTGTTTTAGAAACATTTTCCTAATCAGTTGTGTTTCACTGTGGCTCAAGGAATTCAAGAATGTAAAAATAGTGCTTAATGTAGGAATAGCCCCTCTTCTTTCCTTTTGTTTTTTGGTATAGATAACTGGAACTATCCTCTCCATTGTATCAGTGCAAAGACTGTCCAGATCAGACCCTACCTTTAATAAAGATAATCTATTACTCCAAAGACTTATGGGCATATCTATTAGAGAGTGTTGGTTTTATGCTACCATACAACTAGGAAAGTACTCTACATTTAAGGTCTTTCTGTCATTTGTTAAGATAGATCTCCTTTTTTTCTGTTGCTGTTCTTGTTGCAGGAGTGAACTCATTACAAATAAAGCTTGCTCAATGCTTCCAAGGATGGTAAGGTAGTAATTAAGTGAATTTCACACACCTCTACCTGCCCTTACCAAAAGAAGAGCTGAAAAGAATTGGGATGAGAAAGACCATATTTCCCATAAACATACAATAGCTTCTGCATAGACCCAAGGAACAAAATCTCAGTCCTAGCATGTTCTCATGTTCTAGCATCCTCCCTTCCTTGTGCCTGCTGCTACATAGCTATCACCCAGTTTTCAATAAGAACACATCCCCTTCTCGAGAAGAGATGCAGTAAGGACTGCAATCTGCACAATTTGCAGGTTCATGACAGGTCATGACCTCTATTATTCTCCTAAAGTTGGCCCCTGTAGGAACAAAGACCAGTTAGTCAGAACAGGAGAAGCCTTTTAATCCTGCCTACCCTTTTGCAACATTAATAATGCTCAACTGCTGTTGGGGTCAATGAAAACTGTAACTTAAGGCTGTGAGAAAAATCCCCTTAGTCATGGAGAGCAAAATATTACCCACACTGAGCCCTGAATAGTTGTATTGCTAGAAAGTTCTATGGTTTCTATGTTATTAATGGTTAGAATTTGGTGCATTATTTTACATATTCCTAATCCCTGGTTCTTATTGGTTCCTTCCTGTCAAACTCAGCCCTCCACCTACTCTATCTAAATTACTTTCTGCCCTGGACCCTGGCCTTTTTGGTACACCCTGTACTGTTGTTCGGCTTATGTGTTTGTTGTTTTGATATTAAAGATTTTTACTTTCAGGTCACTGGATTGTGCCTGTCCCTCTTTTATTTGTCCCTCTTGAGAATCTCTCACCGAGGATCCTGAGGTAGCACCCGGCCAAGCCACCCGGGCCCGGCACGCTACAAGCTGTTCCCAGCAACCACTCTCCTGTATGCGCACACTTTAAACTGACTGTATTTCTGAGCAATTCATAAGGCAGCAGGTACTGGTGGAATCTGGTATAAAGAGGAACAGACTTGAAGTTCAAACAGTTTGAGAGACATTAGAACACAAGCAAAAACCCGAAGAGAACAGTTATGTACCCTCGGTAGATGGTATGTTCTGTCATTACATTTTTCAGGTTATTTACAGAACTTTGCCTGATGGTGACAAAACCTCCTACATGTTTAAACAGAGCTTCACAAAATAAGGCCTCAAGGCAACTGGCAACACTGTTAAAAGCCATATATCCAGGTTAAATGACAGAACAGGGAGAGAGGGATGGCTGCGCTTAGATTTCTTTTGGGAAGCTCCTGTTACAAAATGGCAAATAACTTACCAAATCGACTAAATCCCTCAGGACAGCAGACGAGCCCTTTGTTCACATGCCACAGTAGACAGCAATGAGAGCCTGAAATTTTTCCATGGGGAAGCATGCCACAAAAAGGGTGGCAATGCCTGCCTTGGCTGATCTCCAGGACAGGCTCTGTACCTACTCTGCTCCAAGAAAGCAAGGACCCAGGCTGAGGAATAAACTCTTAACTGCCTTTGTGGAACTGAAACTCTTGACTGACATTAAGTATTTATTCTCAAATGCTACCTCCCTTGGAAACAGGCAGGAACGCAAAGAAAGACTATTTCCCTGTAGCCACACAGAGAATGCAAGCGTAGGGACAGGTTTGTATGAGCTCTGCCTTACCTTTCTTTCCTCATGCAGTTTTGGTCTGATTCCAGATTGGCTTGCTTTCTTTGCTCAGCTGGCAGGATACTAACTCTCTCCCTTGGTAGAATGTGAAGGAAGTGGTGGCTGGCTGTTTTACCTTCCTCTCTTCACTGATCACTTTCTTTCCTGCAGTAACTCGCCCAGTGTCCCTTCTTCCCTCATGGGTTCTTGGCAGCAATGCTCCTTCCATCATCCGAAATTTAATTTTAGCTGGACAGGGAAGGCAGGACTTTGTGAGAAGTGTTCTCACATCCCAGCAAAGACAAGGTGGTGACAGCCACAATATCTCCCGTATCTCCTGTATCTCCTCAAAATGGCTTGGCAACACCAAAACTGTGATTTGAGATTGTCAGTGCTCACAGGAGAGCTCGTCAGAAAAGAAGATTTCTTCAAAATAATTCGGGTGATGGAGCAACACCACTACTACATACATTTTCTTTCTGGCCTTTGCAGAGCTAAGGTTCTACTGCTACTAAACCTGCTAATTTTTTACAGCAAAACCTGTTGAGCAGTGAGGGCACAAGGTGGTCTCAAATGGCAAAGAATGTCATGGCTGCCTAAGATGTTTGTCACAGTCCAAAGTAGCACGGGTTCCAGCTCTGCCAGAGCAGAGGAACTGGGTTGTGTGTGTGCACCTGACAAATGAAGGGAAGCAAAAGATTATTTGTGCCAGTATTTTGAACAGACTAGGAGGAATTAAGATCTGAATTGGCCTAAACACGTGTGTTGCCAAAAGTGAAGTTTCACAAGTATTTTGACAGAGATCCTACAAGAGTCTATTTGACTCACCATCTCTTGAGTTCCTATATTCTAGCCACCAATTTCCTCCTCCTGCACATTTCTCACTGAGTTTCACTAGTTTGTTGAAGGACACAATTTCTTTCCAGGAATCATGATGTTTTGTACAGTTTTGAGACCTAGAAAAAGGGATGGTGCATTGCAGTCACAGCCACCAATTGTTTTATATCCCAAGAGTTTATAGAGTTCAATATTTTGTAAGCTGCTTCCCTGACTGGAGGCTAGGTAGGAAGAATACCTTCAGGGTGCTTATTAGCATGCTGTATCTCCAGCACTATTAACTACACAAATGTTTTACTGTGAAAGAAACAGACCAGTCACCCTGAAACCAGTTCTGTATCTGCCCCTTAATGCCTGTACTTTATACTGAAACATGTGTTATAGAGAAATATGAATAAAATGTATTTGCTTGTTCAGTCTAGCAGGAAACCTTGAGCCAAGCCAATAAAGCACATTTTTTAAAAAGCCTTTTGCTTCCTGTAGAATGCTGCTTTGTTTGCCATCATTGTTTGGCAAATAGGAAAGGGCTTATCTCTTCTTCCCAGAAACTAGTGTGGCTATAGAAGAGCTCCAGAAACTTGTCAGTCTTTACTAAGAAAAAAATATTGGTTTAAGAGTCCTCGCCAGGAAATTATCTGAACCTGCGGAAAGAGAGAAGGTGTAAAAATTAGTTCACCGGGCTATGCTATTCTTTTTTGATTATTAGTTCAGTTCCAGTTTGAGGCTCTTATCAAGCATATTTTCAAAGGTAAACTACAGTAACCTTTAACATTAGAGCCTTCCAACATTAGATATTTCATTGTTAGCTGCAAAATTAGCATTTAGCCCTCCAGTGAAAAATGCACCATATTTTTGTTTTATTAATTTGTAATTAAAATTTAAGCAACTATGCCTGGTTTCTAGCAGATGGAGGCAACTGCATAGCTTTGACCCTAGTTACAGTTTTGTTTAACCCCCTCCAGAGAAACATAGTTACTGTGCATTAATATACAGCCTTTCACTGCCAGACCTGTTAGTGTACATTATGGACTAATAATAATAATTATATTGTCAAATTCAAATACACAATTCAAACTGTGTAACAATACAAGCTCCTCTGAAATGTGAAGCACTATAGGTAATGAAACCTACTTTTCTTTATACAGTCAGCTCAAATCTCTTTTTTTGAGCAATCTGGTGCTAAATAAATAATGGGCCTCATTGCCCCCTCCTCCAGGAGGAACCACAGGAGGGAGCAGAGTGGGAGGAAATCTCCAGGAGATTTTGCCTTGTGCATGAGCTTTTGTCGAGGGTGGAGTTGCTCATGCCCTCTCCTCCCATGCATTTGAATGGAATGTAAAAAGACATTTCACCTGGAGGAGATTTTAGTGAGCATCTCAGGCTGGCCCAGATCTGGGCTCTTCTTGGCATGACAAGTTTGTGGTTCACTGGGCATGCAAAATGGACAGTCCTGAAGCACAGCATCACTACCACGGCAATTTTTGTTTCTCTTTAGGCAGGCTATGGAGGTTGATGGCTGTACAGTACATTCTTCTGAGCCATGACCAAAGCTCTGTGGTAGGACAGGGATCTGTTTTGACTTTCGTGTTAGTAACTACCCACTCCTAGAGTATAGTTTTCCAGTCCTGTATGCACTGGCTTGACTAAGCGTATCTAGGTGACTTCCTGACTAGCACCTTTTGTTAATTTAGTCTCTCACTGTAAACTAGAGCTGTGAGAGCACGTAAAGCTCAAAGTCTCCTGCAATTTCAGTGTGGTAGAACTGAAGGAATCTGGCAGATGTTTTCCTAAATCTGACCATATGTTTGTGCAGAGTTAGCGCTACAAGCAGAAGTCACAGGGTTCAGCGCAGCACTGGCATGCAGGTGAGTGCTTTGAGAGGCTTTGTTGGTGGCTCTTCATTGCCCACCTTTGGCCCAGAAGTTGTTTCCTCACAGATGAGATGCTGCAGTAGCCACAGTTCCTTGCAGCTCCTGCGAGTCACCACAGTCGATGGGGATGGCTCTGCCCTGGACCTGGGCAGAATCACACACAGGCTCTGTGGCAGTGGCTGAGGGATGACAGGCCCTGTGGCAGTGCCTGAGGGTGACACCCTCCAGCAGCAAAGCAGCAACAAGCAGGCAGGGACAGTTTAGCAGCAGCTGCTGCTGCCTCAGACACAGGATTGAGGACACTATGGAGAGTTGACACCGGCAGCAGATAGAGCTAGGGGTTATCTGGGATAGATATATCATGGGCCTGGAGATGATCCTCCTCGCACCTTTTCAAGTGACCTATGTCAGATGCAAACCTGCCCTTCCAGGTCAAGGCCACGTGGCACAAATCTCAACTACTTTTCCTTATAGGAAAAGCTCCCTCTCAGGTACACCCAAACAAAGGCGCCCTCACCCATTTCTTGGCTCCTGCAGCTGGTTTGCGCTTCACCGCTCGTGTCCTCAGCCTGACCTGGACAGAACGGGAGCAGGGACAAGCTCAGGCAGACTCACGGCGGCCTCCCGCCCTCAGCTGAGGCCGGGCCCGCGGCAATGGCGCCACCTGATGGAGGCGGCGCTGAGGCGCCG